CTATCCAACCACCCCGTTCCTTGTCCCCTGACTGCCCTGACCCTTATCCACACCCCCGCCCCCGGGACTCCCACACCTATCCAACCACCCCGTTCCTTGTCCCCTGACTGCCCTGACCCTTATCCACACCCCCGCCCCCGGGACTCCCACACCTATCCAACCACCCCGTTCCCTGTCCCCTGACTGCCCCCCCAGCAGAACCTCCTCCCCATCCAACCTCCCCCTGCTCCCTGTCCCCTGACTGTCCCCCAGAACCCTCTACCCTTATCCAACCCCCACTCCCCACCCCATTACAATGCCATTCAGAGCAGCATGTCTGGCAGCCACGCCACCGCGCTGCCTGGCAGGAGCTCGCAGCCCCACCGCCCAGCAGGGCCGGCTCCAGGCACCAGCCCACCAAGCATGTGCTTGGGGTGGCGCCTGGAGGGGGGCGGCGCGGCGGGGCGCTCCAGCCCGAGAGCGGGGCCGCGACTAGGCTCACCGCCCTCCCCGCGGCGCTCCTGCCGCCAGGGGCTCTCCGCCCTCCGCTTGGCACTCTGGCCGCCGGGGAGAGCGGAGAGCCGCGGCAGGCTCTCCGCCCTGCTCCCAGCACTCTGGCCGCCGGGGAGAGCGGAGAGCCCCGGCCGGGCTCGCTGCCCTCCTCCCGGCGCTCTGGCTGCCGGGGGCTGTCCGCCTTCCCCCCGGTGCTCTGGCCGCCCTGTTCCCGGCGCTCTGGCCGGTGAGGGATTGCTCGGCGCCCTCCCCTGCCGCGCTGGGGGGGGGGGGAGGGGCGGCGGGTGGCTTTTTTTGCCTAGGGCGGCAAAAAAGCCAGAGCCGGCCCTGCCGCCCAGAGCGCTGGTGGCACAGTGAGCTGAGGCTGCAGGGGAGGGGGGACAGTAGGGGAGGGGCCGGGGGCTAGGGCCGGGCAGGATGATCCTGCAGGCCAGACATATCCCGCGATCCGTAGTTTGCCCACCTCTGCCTTAAAGGGACAATACCCCTTTCCTTCCAGATAGCTGGACAAAGAGTTTCCCTTTCTTTACTTCTGACTATCTGATGAACTAGTTTTAAGAGAACCCGCCAGCAACATCAGTACCTTAGTAAGATATGAAATCCTTTGTTATGCCTAAAATCTTTGGAAACGTATTTTTTAAAGTTGGGGAAATTTCATAAATATGTCTATTGTTATGGAGATCACACAAAGTAAATTAGGGTTCCCTTTTTCTAAAAGCAATGCACATTGTTATGAACACACAAACCTCTGTGACTGATTAATTTAAAATAATGTCTTTACTACATATTTAACTCACTGAAACATTATGAAAGTTTAAGAGTACATTAAAATATTAAATCAGCTTAGAAATACTTATTAAGAAAATGTAAAACAGGGAAGAGCTGCATCATATAGTCCATAGTATTTAATGTTGTATTCAGCAAGACAGCCGACTCGCCCTTACTACAAAGTTTTTCCAAAGAAATCTTTGACAAACGTCAGGGCATATCAAAAAACCCATGACTGACATTTTTTTATTCCCAAGGTTAGTGCTTTTAATTAGGTACATTCTGCATGCCCAGTCTTTACCTTCTTTAGAAAGAAATTGCAGAAGAGTGTTTTTTTCAAATGTCGTTTGCTTCATTTCGGTTCAGGGATTTGCCTGGAAGGGGTGGAGCAGGGAGGGGGAGGGAAGAGAGGAGGGAGACAGTGAGGAGAGGTGGAGCTTGGGCAGAGTGAGGGCGGGGCCTGGGGCGGAGCATGGTTGGAGTATGGGCGGGGCCACAGGTGGGCTGGGGAGCTAGCCTCCCCAAGTGGCAGCTTCACCCACCGCCCATGACAGCAGGTCAGAGCAGGTTGGCTCCTGCACACCCAGCGTGCGCTGCAGTGTCCTTAGGCAGGGGCCGTATTCACAGAGCCGAATGCGCCGGCGCGGCGCATTCTGCGGGAGGGACAGGGTACGGGGGTCTCTGCGGGGAACTGGGATTCTCCGCCGCCATAAGGCAGGCTGGGCGGTTTGGTATCCTTTGCTGTCTCGTCCCTCCCCCACCCCGGGTTGCTTGCCCAGGCTGCCGTCGGGCATAGGGGCAACAGTTTAATAATGTTGCGTAGGGCCCTATAAATCCTAAGGACGGCCCTGGCCCAGAGCACAGACCAGCATGGGCACCTATGGGATCCAGCCAGGCCCACTGCCCTCAGGGACCCTCTCCAGGCCACTCTGGTGATTGGCCAGACCCAGCAGTAACAGCAGGGGTCTGTTTCTCTCCAATCAGGTCACAGGGTCACATCTGCAAAATGCCCAGCTCCTGCCAGCCCGGGGACCAAGAGTCTGAGCCTCAGGCCAGACCTGCAGGACTCAGGGGAGCTGCTCCGGGGCCACCGGGTCTCACGGACACACTGCGTGTTACACATCCACAAATGGCGTTACACCCCCGTATTCCACATATCTGCTCCCTGAAGCGAAGGTCAGTGCAGACAGCGCAGAGGGATGGGCTGAAGGGGGCAGGGAGCCCGGTCAGGAGTCCTTCCAGTGACTCTTTTATCAGCAGGCAGGAGTGAGTGGTGGGTATGTCCCATCAGAGATTCCTAAATTCCCAGGCCAGAAGGGACCGTTGTGCTCCTCTAATCTGACCTCCTCTAAAGCACAGGCCAGAGAACCTCCCCTGGATAATCCCTAGAGCAGATCCTTTAGAGAAACATCCCGTCTTGATTTTAAAATTGTCAATGATGGAGAATCTACCACAACTCTTGGTAAATTGTTCCATTGGTTAATTACTCTCATCATTAAAAATTTAGGCCTCATTTCCAGTCAGAATTTGTCTGACTTCAACTTCCAGCCATTAGATCATGTGTCAGACCTTTATCTGCCAGACTGACGAGCCCATTATGAAATATTTGTTCCCCACGTCACATAGGTACTTATAGACTGTAACCAGGTCACCCCTTCACCATCACTCTGTCAAGCCTGGGCTCCATCTGATTGGCCAGCAGGGGTCACTGCAGCTCCACCATCTAGGGACTTGTTTCCTGCTCTGGGGGACAGAAGCTGCAGACAGAGAAGTTGGCAGGTGGCGACAGTGCGAGAAATCTGAGAAATAGACCAGTGGCTGCAAAAGGAAAAAGGTTAGCATTAACCCGACCCAGGGAGGAGCCCCCCAGGGGCAAACTGCTCTAGTACGCTCCACGTCAGCCCCCACCACGCCCTGAGTTGGGGGTGTCGGGGAGCAGTCATCTCACGCTGTACGTTTAACCGAGGGGAGATTTACTCGGGGCTCTGACTCTCCTGGATTTCCAGTGACTGTGACAAGCTGATACCTGAATTCCCCCCTCCCTAGAAAGGGAAGGGACCCTCCAGGTCAGGGATCAGGGCTGGGGCACGAGTATTAGGAAGCCCAGAGGAGAGCAATGCTGGAGTGGATTCAAGCTAGAACTGTTGTGTTCCCCGAGGGACGGTGCCACCAGCTCTGGGCTGAGGACCAGCCTGAACAGGATGGAACGAGCTGGGGGTTTGTCTCTGTGGGGCACAGACACGGGGACCTGGGCAGCAATGCCAGGGGAGGCTGGGTAACAGCAGTCACCGGGCTCTGGAACTAAGGAATCCGGTCCAGAGCCACGAATGGGTCGCTGGGACCCTCGTACAGGCCCGGATGGAGGGAGCGTGTGGAGAGGAGGCTGCATGTGACCAGGAGAGGAGCAAAGGGGCTTCTCTGTGACGGAGGCGCAGACAGTGAGGGAAAGCCTGGCCAGCCCCGCCAGCTCACCATGGAGCTCACCCTGAGCCAGCAGGACCCACTCTATGGGGCAGAGCAATTCATTTCCCACTTGTACCCAATCCTTGGGAGCTCTGATGCCCGGTGACAGCAGCAGGTAGTGCCCAGTGAGATGGTCACCTGGGGATGGGGCCGTTTGGGCTCTAGGAACTGGACTGGGGCCCTGAAAAAGCCACCCGGTCACTAGTGATCTGGGCTGGCATCAGACTGGGCGGGTCTGTATCCAATGAGCATTCCCAGACACAGACAACACTGACCCCCTATGAGACTTTAACGCTTCCTGCTCTGCTCCTGGGCTGCAGCATTACAATCCGTTCCCTCTGGCTCCCAGGGGAACTCACAGCAAATCTACATTTACCTGGTTACGCTTTGCTTCACAGAAAGAGGAAGAGGAGGAAGGCGGCTGTCAGCACCTTCTCCAGGAAGAGCCCGATCCAGAGAGCGGGGCTGGAGAACAGACTCTGACCTGCTGTGTAAATGCACCAGATCAGCCAATGGACAGGAACCCCCCGCGGACAAGAGAAGTGCTGGTTCCCGGCCATCCCTCCCTGGCTCAGGCGTGCACCTTTACCGGGCTCCGAGGAAACTGGCCTTCCATGGGGCTTGGCGAGTTCCTGTCTGTGAACAGCAGGTTGGCAAATGGCCCCTGCAGAGTTTGCCCAGCTCTGCCTGGCAGCTGTATCCACACGCTGCTGCCTGGCCCCAGGGCAGCCAAGACTCTACCGGGGAGACCTCGAGCTTCGCAGAGCAGGAGAATAAGGACTCAGGAGTGACCATGTTCGAGCCCCTCTCTAGGGACAGTCACACCCTGCAGGGCTGCACAGAGCATCTTCCCAGTGACAGTTCCTGCCCTTAACCTTCCCCCTCCCACTCCGCCCACGGGCCCCAGGAGAGCAGAGCCCAGCGATAATCCTGGAATAAAAGAGTGGCTGTTACACTGAGGGGCTCCCCTGGCGGAGATGGGCTGAAATGGCCCCTGGGTTCCGCAGACCAGACCTGGCATTTCCCAGCAGTGCGGGGGGTGGGGCGGTTCAACTGCACATTTACCTGCAGTAGGTGAAGTGGGATCTTTGCCTGGCTCAGCAGATGGCTGGGAGAGTCTCAGTGTCGCGCTGGCACTGATGGGGGACTGGGAATCGTGCACAACCCGACAGGTGAACATGGACTGACTCCTCTGCTCGGTTGCGTTGACCTCCAGGGAGCTCTGGAGAGTGTACGTCCCGTCTGGATTCTCAGCCAGGGGGGAGGGTTTTCCCAGATTCGTCTCATTTCCGTTCTCCAGCCAGGTGAGACTCACGTCCTTGGGGTAAAACCCCTCCGCGTGGCAGGTGAACGTCACAGACTCGTTCGGTGCGACGGGCACTGCTGGGTCAGTGCCCACTCGCAGCCTGGGGGGAACTGAGAACACAAATATCCTGCGCTCGGCATCTACAGAAATTCTCCTTTTCCTGCTGAGTTACAGGGAAATTCCTGGGCTGGACAGACTGACCTTCCCCCCGAGCCCACCTCCATCCACCCCCCATGTCCCTCCCTGGAGCACATTCAGCTCTCACTGGAATCTCTTCTTTATCCAGGCCCTTACCTCCCTCCCTCACAGGAGCAGCCGGCTGGCATTTATCTGTGTGTCCCCTTCCCCTCTCCAGCCACAGAGGCCCCTTTTGTCCCATGCCGCCCTGTCCAGAGTTCTGATCCCCAGACGCCCTCCTGTTCCGCACGGGGAGGGGCTGCCTCTGCACAGTGAGGACCCATGACCTCTCCACAGCGCATCCCGACAGAGCATCTCAAAGCACCGCCCAACACACATTAATTAAACCTCCCATTGCCCTGCAGGTGGGTGAGCAGGAGCGCAGCGCCCATGGGCCTCCTCCTGGAAGCTGCCTGGTGGATCTGAACAGTGATGACACTGGCCCTGCCCCTTGGGGCACAGGGATCCCCCTCTGTGCACAGCACAGGGCCCCGGTCACAGCTGGGGGGAGGCTCAGGGAATTTCTTTAAAAACAAACAGAATTAGCAGAGGGGAAAAAAATGTTCCTCACGTCCCCACTTTCCCTCCCCTTCCTCTTTGGACAAAACGCACAGCGCGCTGGTTAACTTCAACTGGGGGGTGGGATCTTTCCGGGGTTCAGACAAGGACAAACACCTTCCATCCCACACACCCTCCACACACACCCAACCCCTCTGGGCCGGAGCAGGGCACTTCCTGGCCCAAGCGAAGGGTCTCTACATTCTAAGGGCCTGAGGATGAGCGATGGGCAAAGGGCACAGACTGGACCCAAATCTGGATTTCAGTGTCTGACCTCCCACAAAATACCCACCCAAAAGGGACCCAAAGGGCGATGGGTCCGTCTCAGCCCCCCAACCCCCCGTAGCAGAGCCCCCAGTGGTAAGTCCCGGCTGGGCTCCTACCTCGCAGGGCATCGCTGAGTTTGTAAGTCGCACGCAGGGGAGCCGGTAAGGTGCTGTGCTCTATCTGACAGGTGAGCTGGGAGCGGGCGTCTCCTGCGGTCAGGTTCACCCCCACGGTGCTGGACACGCTGTAGGAGACGCTCTCGTGTGCAGGGAGAACCCGGGGCTGGGGGGCTGGGAGTTTGGCCCCATTTTTGAGCCAGGTCACAGCGATGTCTCTGGGGGCGAATCCTCCTGACGTGCAGGTGAAAGTCACTGGGGGGCCCGGCTCTGCCCTGCTGGGGGGGCCGGACATGGACGGGGCCGACGGTCTGGCTGCAGGGAGAAGCGTTCATCAGTCAGATCCCTCTGCTCCCGAGAGCCCAGCCCCCCCCCCCCGTCTCACAGAACCTGCCCCATAGCAAATGCAAAGGGGGGGCAAGGCTAGGAGAGTCCTTGCTGGGGCTGGGGAAGTGTCATAGGAGAGGAAGAAAAACATCCAAGTAAGTCCATGGCTGCAGCCGAGCTCTGTGCCCACAGCCAGAGCCCTACAGGGGATGGGGGCGGGGGGGTCGAGTAGATTCACACGTCCGTGGCAGCACCGGATCTGAACTCCTCATCGGCTCCTCACCCCTTCTTAAACTTCACACAGCGATAGATCCCGGCGTCCTCGGGGCAGGTGTCATTGATGTGGATGGTGAAGTATGCTCCAATACATCTGTTAGTCTTAAAGGTGCCACAGGACTCTCTGTTGTTTTTTACAGATCCAGACTAACACGGCTACCCCTCTGATACTTGACCCCAGGACCGGGTCTGGCCGCAGGTCAGTTCTGCCAAGGAC